AGTATCGTAGATACGAATACGAAGATGGTGTGGCCTTCTGTTTGGTCGCAGTCTCTTTTAGCTTTATAGTTGGCTATATTTTCTATTTAAATCTGAGTCACGAGAATTTTTGTAAGCACATGGAATAATTCAATAAAGCAGAAATACTACAATAATAATAGCATTAGCGGGATATCATATGGTGAATTTTTAGGATACTAAAATGCGATTGTAGGAAGATCAGTTGCTCCTGTAAATCTAAGATAATTTAAACACAAATAAAGAGATTCGGAAGTATAAAATTTTATCCTAGTAAAGATAAAGTAAATAAATAGCTCATGATTTAAGTGCAGTTAAATTCAAAGATAGACACAAGACAGTACAATTATAATTAAGTAAATAAATTAGCGATGTAGGATTCACCCGAAAGGTGAGCTGACTATAAAGGGGATCCATTCGAAGATATATAAAATAGTGAATATCATAATTACATTATGGTTCAAAGGTATTTTATGGTCGGATAAGTTATTATAACAATCACTGATATTTCAGATTAACAAATGCCTTGGAGAATTCAAGACGAGTGGCTCAAAATGACCATATTTGCAGTTTGTTTCAGTTACGCAAAATAAGATAAAAGGAAGAATAAAGTGGTAAAATTGGTCATTTAAGATAAATATAAGCCATATATATTTCCAAAAGGATTTAAATGATCAACTATAAATATAATTAATCTAAATATGGGACATACAAGTCCGGTTAACTTAGTACAGGTCAAGGTACACCAGCAAGTCTAAGCTTTAAATATTGTCAGTGAAAGAATGCAAATCTCACAAATTCCAACAGCTAACTTTTCTTCAAATCAGCAATGACCGAGATTAAGCGATTTCTAAACTTATGTATAACAAACATGAAAATAAGCGAATAATTGATTCGAAGATGGAATACAATAAGTTGGACCAGAAAACTAGAAAAAAAGAATATATGAGGGGCTAATTAAATTGAAATTAAACTCGAGATAAATATACGTATGATGAATAAACAAGTATAGAAAAACATTTACTTTGAACCGTAAGACTTTTCCTCAATCCCATGCAGAGTGTCTTGGAGGGAATTTATGAGAATCCGACAGCGATCATCATTCGCAATTTTTGATTGCTTAATCAAGGAAACTGCCGTCACAAGAGTCTCTATAGCGCTTGCGTAATCACCATTCGCTGCATCCTTGACAGCACGATTGATGGCACTGGACGATACGGTTTTGTTCCGTTGTAAAATTTCGTCGAAGTCGTTTTCAGTGAGCTTGGATGAAGATGCTAAATAGTAAAGTAGATAAATAAGTTCCACAAAATGATAAAATCCCATAGAATAAGTGAATATTTACTCACAGCTACTAAATTGGGGAATGTTTGTCCTTCCATATTGATCGAAATGTTGAGGGCGGATAGAAGCATGCTGCTGAAGAGCATTACCTGCTTGGCCCATTTGGACCAGAGGAGCAGACATAGATGCCTGATTCAAGACAGAAGCAGCGGCTGAGAGCCCTGCATTACCGGTTAACGCGCCAGTAGCAAGTGCTGCTTGTTGTTGAAGAAGGGCCGGGTTGAGTTGTTGATTTAGGTTTGCAAACTGAGGCAGAGCACCTGCCAGAGTAAAGCCCTGTGGCAGAGCAGAAGTTTGTACTGGAAGTGCTCTGGAGAATGAAGATATACCTGCTGCAGGATTGTTGGCAAGCATCATGGTTCCGAGGTTAGGAGTAAGTGCGAGTGAGTTTTGAAGTCCGGTTGGAAGTGTGCTTTTATGAGACGATGTGAGCATGCCAGCTGCTTGACCCATTAAAGGAGTATTGTTTCTTAAACTAAAGCCCAATGTAGCAGGGAGAGTTGGTGTTCCCATCAAGGATGTTGGCCGGCCTGTCGAACATAAAAAAAAAAGCAAATTACCTCCACGAGAGGCAGCAGCATCTTCTGATTTACTTTTCTGATTAGTTGATTGGGAATTCTCTCCTCCTGCTGCCCTTTCGAACATTGCCAAATTTTGCTTTGTACAAAATGTCATGACAGGAGTCTG